TCAGAGGAAAGCAGTGTCTAATGTCTGATATCAGCCTCTGCTCCACATGTGCAGGCCTCTCCTTCCAGCTGCTCCTGTACGTTTGCAGCTGCTCGGGCCTGTTGTCACCGACTGCCATTGTCAGCATGTGGTTAGAAATACAAACACTGTTTTATGCAAACACACACACACACACACCTGACGTGTTCCTAACTGTTGTAACACTGTTTTTGTCATCATGCAAAACACAAGGTTTTGTTCTTCTCTGCATTTTTTACACCCTGCAAAACCCTTTGATTATAATAAATGCAAATCATTTCGATGTCTACATGTAACATAACAGCATCAGGCTGTTCAACACTGACTACAGGCTACACGCTCGGCTGAGGCTTCGTGTGATGCAGCAGCACGACTTTAACAGCTGTGAGGCACGAGCGTCAGCATGAACAGTGTCGACGCTGCCACAGAGAATAAAACAACAAGATAACAACAGGCGCTTTGGACAAACACATTTTAATCAATAAATGAAACGCGCTGCCTCTCCAGCTCGAATCGCTGCAGCCTTTCAGGAGCTGCAGACTGTATCCGATCGTTCCTGCTTCGTGTAGACTTCATCCATGTCACACTCGTGTTAATGGGATTCCGGCTGACCTCGAATGTTATGTAGATTATCTCACAGCATGAAATATACACGCAGCAACACACACTACAGCTACAGATGATCCTTACATAACCCGCCTGAGTCAGGAGAGCTGAAAGCCAGCAGCCCGCCCCACCCCCACACACACAATCCCATGTGGATTACAGACCATACTAAATTATGCTGAGATTATGCCTCATGGTGGCAGTGACATAAGAAACCGGTTCCACTGAGAACGTCAGTGCAGGGATGGAGAACATCAAAGCTTTTCTCTGAAGTGTTCCACCTGAAATCAGACAGTGCTGAGGACCTCAGGGAACACAATCTGAAGGAAGACAGGCGGGTGTTTGTCAGGATTTAGTTCAGTTTATCAATCGCCTCCAACATGAAAAACCAGCACAGCTGCAGATGATGTCTGTACAGTACGGCTAACACGTCTGGTGAAGGTTTCAGATCCCGTGTGAGTTACCGATGCTCTACCGTCTATTAATAGCAGTAAAGTGCAGCACAGCATCATACATCCAACCACACATGCAGGTGTAGCCTGAACAGAAGCTGCATCCACAGGTTCAGTCAGCACAGCTGCAGCTGCGCTCAAAGCCACTCCACATGCATGTCCCACTTCTTTCTTTTGAAAAGAGTAAGAAGCACATCATTGATCGGGTACATCTCTAGTCCTACAAGACAAACAAAAACCTTCTTACTAAACAGACGATCAGTGTAAATAAA